AAAGAAAAAGAATTAAAAAAAAAAAGAAAGAAAAAAAAAAGAATAAAGGAAAGGAAGAAAGAGGAAGAGGAAAAGGGTGAGAGAACAGGGGTGTTGCTTTATTGCCCGGGCTAAAATGCAGTCTAAAAATGCACTAATAGAATTTTGAGATGCAGGCCGAGCATGGTGGCTCACATTTGTAATCCCAGCACTTTCGGAAGCAGAGATGGGTGGAGCACCTGAGGTCAGGAGTTCAAGACCAGCCTGGTCACCATGGCAAAATCCTATCTCTACTAAAAATACAAAAATGAGATGGGTGTGGTGGGGCACGCCTGTAATCTTCAGCTACTTGAGAAATCCCTTGAACCCAGGAGGCAGAGGTTGCAGTGAGCCGAGATCATGCCATTGCACGCAGGCTGGGCAACAAGAAAAAGACAAGATTTAAAAAAATAAGAATTGCAAGATGCAGGATTGTCACACACCTTCAATTTATAAAAAATGTGTTTTCTGTGAAGTGCATAAAGGTGAAATGCAATAAAACAAGACATGCTTATATCGCTCCTGGAGTTCAGGCTGTTGAACTTCTGACCTCAGATGATCTGCCCTCCTGGGCCTGCCTCCTGCTACTTTCCTGCCTCCCTCCCAAGTAGCTGGGATTACAGGCGCACACCACCACACTCAGCTAATCTTGTGTATTTTTAGTAGAGATGGGGTTTCACTATGTTGGCCAGACTGTTCTCAAACTCCTGACCTCATGATCTGTGCACCTTGGCTTCCCAAAGTTCTGGGAGTATAGTCATGAGCCACCGTGCCCAGCCAGAACAAAGTATTTTAATGGCTTGTTGGAGTCAACAGATGAGATAATCCAGAGCCAGTGGTTCCTGACTCAGGGGCTCTGCTGTCCAAGGCCCTACATGTTGCCCCAAAGGCTCAGAGGATCAATATATCTGCACATCTATAGCCCTCTGTGTGACTAGGTACACAGAGGGTAGCACTGTCTAAAAGAATTAAAAGTCTATGAGATGGCAGTTTGGAAGTGTCTTAAGCAGATAATCTTTCTTAGCTTTGAACATTTCTGCTTCTTTAAATCACATTATCACCAAAGTCATCAGTTATATGTACAGAAAGAGGGATATTAGGTGCATTGTTACTTTTTTTCCTTTTGCTTTTACCTCATTCTATGTCTCATCCCAACAGACCCATTCTTTAATTCATTTGCTTAATATTTATGTTGCTGGTCTCCCAAGCTTATTGTTTTGCTTTTTTTTTTTCTTTTATACCTGAATGTTTTGGGATGGATGTCATTGTCAAAATGCAAGCCGTTCAAAAAAGTGAAAGGGAAAAGTAAAACACCCCAAATTTAAGTACCTGGAAGTGACTACTCTTAACATTGTAGGGAAATCCTTCCAGATTTTTCTCAATGCCAATTGTATATTTGCGTTCAATTTTTTATTTATGAGATTATCTTTACCCATCTTTGCTACTAAGTGATCTATTGTAGTTGGACATTCATCTTCACTTTTAATGACCAAATAGAATGACTTTGTATATGTTATGTTGATGATTTATTTTCCCTGGTTCAAAGCAATATTTCAGATAACCACTTTGATGCATTTTTTAACTCTTTTGCAGTTAGTAGTGAAATTACAGATACAAAAGGCATGGCCCATTTATGTTTCAATAGATGTTGATTGAGCCTGCTGCCAAGGATGCATGAGCACACCCTCTTGCAGGTTTCTCCATTTTCCTAGCATCATACTCCAGCCTGACACCCACAGCTGCCAAGAACTACCTAGCCCTATGCTTCAGTTGTAGTGTTACTGCTTCGGGGAAGCCTTTCTTACCTTGCTCAGAAATTGACTGTTTTATTCTTGTGTTTTCTAACAGGCCCTTCTACACACCTCTATTGTGGCTTTTATTACATGCACACAACCTGTCTCTTATACACATCTTCATGAGATTGCAACAATTCAGTCACATCTTCAGCTTCCACTTTTAATCCTAGTTCTCTTGCCGTTCCCACCACATCTGCAGCTACTTTCTTCATNCTTCTACACACCTCTATTGTGGCTTTTATTACATGCACACAACATATTCTGCATTTCTGTCTCATCCACGGCTGTTGGTCCCTAAAGCCCAGAGCTCATAGGAGGCCATATACAGAACATGGTAATATCTTGAGCTCTGGTTTCAATTGTCTGCACTCAAATATTTGCTCTGTCACTTAATAGCTGTGTACTGTTGGGCAAGCTATTTACTCTTCTCAACTTTTTATTTCCTCATCTGTAAAATAGAGACAGATATAGTGCCTACTTCATAGGATGGGTGTGAGAATTTCAGTGAGATAATGCACAAAGTAGTTAGACTCCATGACAAAAATGGAGAAGTAAACAAGTTTCACTGAGTGTTCACTCAGTGCCAAGCACTATGTTGATACATAACGGATGCCCACTGTATTTTAGATGAATGAAGAGCTCCAAAATCCTAATTATTTGGACCTATGGTTTTTCAATGAGCATACTCAAGTTATAAACCACACAATTTGTGTATGGCGATGTTTTTACCAAGGCTGATTGTATGTATACATACACACAGGGCATTTATTGTTCCCTCTTTTCCCTATTGCCTTTCTGCTACGTCTATGGTCATTGAGGGTTGGCACTAGCCCCCTGCTTATTCATTCTTTTGTTCATACACCTCTCCTGTAGTATTTTGTTCTTAATATTGGGCCTGTTCCAGAACAAGGAGGGAAATAATTGTTCATTGGAAAGAAGGAAGAGAGAACAAGAGCTCAAATCAATGAATTTGTTTAGCTTGACTGTTAAGTTCCCAAGAAGGACAACTATAGCAGCAAGGTCCTTTTAATTTTCTCGTTCTGAGCACTTGATTTCAAAGCAGCATGATGCTCAGTCTCTCTGGTTGAGTTAACCATAATAAAAACTAACAGTTATCTCCTATGGATATTATTTCTTGAGTGAAGCCATGCTTTTCTTACCTATTTCCCCACTAAGACTTGTACATCTGGCAGCCTCTTTCTGCACTGTCTGCTACAGTACCTTGTGGTAACTCAGAGCCTTGACCCTACTGGGAACTTCTAGTCTACTTCAAGGTCCTCC